TTCCCTTGCGACTAGGCGACTACGGAATACCTTACATTAAATGCCAATTAAACAAATTATTAATCAAGACATCAAATGGTAAGCCATTTGGTGTAATACTTCTCATGTTAATGTAGTACCCGAATTTAAGATTTTTATTACTTACAATTTCTTTAAATAATTACATATCTCATCTCCTATTAGATTCACTTTTAAAAACACCTTTTGATGTTAAAGTTAATTGGCATATTTAGGCGAACAAATTTCGCAATTCTCTCTAAAAACATTCTACTACACATGTGCCAGCCACGCCTACTAGAGTCAATATGAAATGCCCGTGGGTAAGCCGCAATATGCAGACCATGAAAAAAGGAGAAAAAAAAAAAAAAACCCAATGACGACAAGCTGGCAACCTGGCCGCATGGCAGCATGGCAGCCTGGCAGTCACGCCCCCTCACCGGCAACGAGTCAAGTCAAGTTGTCCTAGCTGCCGTCGCGTCAGCCGCGGCAACTGCGGCGCACTTTAAGCGAATTTCATTTGTCTGCAGCGTCAACCACTTGACAATCACTCACGTGGCCCAGCCCCAGACCCAGGCCAGACCAGACCAGACCATGCCAGCAGCCAGCCAGCAGCTTCCTGCATCCAGCAGCACCAAAGGCAGCAGCAGCAGCAGCAGCAATAGCAGCGCCCCCGTAACTCCCTTGAGCTGGCTGCTGGTCTGATGCTGTTGTTGTTGTTGTTGTTGGCTTGCTTGGTGTTAACAAGTTCCCATGTAGCCGCTTAAATATTAACGCACACACGCTCAGTTGTCGCTGCTGTCGTCAACGCAGTCGGCAACTGTAAATAAATACTCATAGAGCACACGGCACAAGAACTTGTGTGTCATTGCACTCAACGCCTGCACGATACAGCCAGCAAATTCCCTAGAGGTAGACAGAGAGCGAGAGAGAGAGAAAGAGAGAGAGAGAGAGGAAGAGACAACGTGTTTGTGTGTGTGTGTGGGTTGCATAGGAGTCTGGTCAAGACGTAAGCCAAATGCTTGAGATATTTGCTTCAAAAACCGCTACAAATCATTAAAATCATCGAAATGCCAACTGGATATAATTAACTGCAACTCAATTCACACAATGTGGCCAGACGACAAGGCCTGACGCACTCGATGTCATGGCGAAGCGAACGCGTCAATGCAATTAGAGCCAGCTGGGGCAGTCGTCTCCTGGCTCATTACGTGCCAAAAATAAAGGAGTGCAGAAGGAATTGCTTGGCAGGCACAAGTGGGCGCCAAGGCACGCCGTCGACCGTGTTAATTGCTGCAAATGCCCGAGGTATGCAACATGCCGCCTACTGTTGCTGCTGCTGCTGCCCCACCGCAACTCTTTTGAGTGTCGCAGTCGCCTCTGCAGTTGCGTTTGTGGCAGCAATTGTTGTTGCTGTAAAATTTATGCTCGCCTGTGGCCGCCAGCCTCCTGCTGCTATAGCTGCTGCGGCATCTGCTTCTGTGTGTGTGTGTGTGTGTGTGTGGGGTAAACGTTCGAGCGAACATAATTGCCCGAGTCATAAAGAAATATAGGGGCATGCGGCATATTAAATTATTCCGGTAATACATGGGCAATAAAATCTGTTTTGAATTTCATTTCAGTGTAAATTCTCCGAACTTAATTAAGCCGATTTCCAATATGAAATCGTACATCATTAGCCTTTACTTATTTAGTAAATAGTCAAGCAAATAAATCCGCACAGCTCAGTTCATTTTCCAGGTCATTTGATTGAGCTCAGTTTCATAGTCAAATCATCGAGAAGCAGCCACAGCGAAATGGGGAAGAAAGCGAGAGAAAAAGGTAAATCACTGCTCGACGAAATGTGTCAGAGCGCCCCCTCAAAACTCTCGGGCTGAGACGCATTTAATCATCATTAAAGGGGAGGGGGGCGGTCTGGAAGCAATCCTTCTGCCTTTTACAGCACACGGTTCACCTTTAGCCATTTGCACTTTTCGATGCTTTCACGTTTTTCATCATCATTACCAGCAGCCTCTATGCATACAGCGGCGGCAGCAACAACCCAGACCGCCATTTGCGCCGAAAGTAATAAATAATTTCGTTTAGCTCGGCAAACAGGCCAAAAGAAACTGGAGCATGGAGAGACGCCAGCCGCACAGCCGCACAGCCACACAGCATCCTGGAGTCGTCGGATGGAAGAGCTTGGATGAATGTGTGGGCATGTGCTAAAAGTTTGTTTGCTCTGCTTTTTGGGTGTTACTTCCGCAAACATCAAATGAGGTGGGCTGCTAAACGGGCTGCTGACTGAGGGCTGGGCGCGCAGCGAGCGGTGGGCGGTGGGCGTGGCATGCATTGAAATATGACAAAATGCTGTTTGAGACATTTTCAGTTATTGATACGCCCGTCAGCAGGCAGCGAAGAAGAAAAAAGAAGTGAACGAAGTAAATAAATAAATAAAAAGAAAATGGAATGCAGCCAGGCAAAGAGTCGACCTGATGACTGTATATGTGTGTGTGTGTGTGCGCGTGTGTGTGTACTTATTAATAATAAACCCAAAATGCTAGATGGCAAAGAGCAGAGTGTGAGGCTGTAGTAAAATTCGCCTGAAATTGAAAGCAAAGTTTGGGTTCGGCTGCTGCCTGATAAATAGACAGATTTGGCAATGGGTCGATCAGGTCGCTACGGTCGCTTTAGCCGTTCTGGTTGGCCAATGCCACACACGCACTTTATCACAAATCAAGCGAACTTTTTTCTGGCTATGCCCGAAAAATCACGCCCACTCACACACACACACAGGGAGAGACACCCGCACCGTCTCCTGAATACTTTGCTCACTGGTGATAAATTTGATGGCATAAGAAATTATGAGGGTGTCGTCGCTGGCTGCTCCTGATGATGTCCTGTTGTGCATAAGGCCAGGCGTAAAGATATGACGCTATAAATATGCCAAAGCTATAAATTTTCTTACTGCCTAGTTAGGCAGGGGTGTGCAAGGGCATGCAGGGGGAATGCAGGGGGCAGGGGGCTGGGCTGTAGCCGCTCAAAAACCGATCAATGTCATATTTATCACTTGTTCTCAACTTTTGGACTTAAGCTCTGGTAGTTAGATGTGGTTAAAAGAAGTTTTATAATAAATATGAATACACACATACATACACATATTTCGATACAGTTACCAGAGGTGTTGAGAGCTTCAACTTCAATATGCTTTAAGGTATGTGTAATTTGTAAAATATTGTCAGAAAAATGCGATACACAAATGTAAATTGTATTTTCCGCTGTGTGGCTGCAAGTGCCGCGATGTGGCATGCTGCTACTTGCTGTAGTTGTTGCTGTTGTTGTTGTGGGTGTTGCACGCAGCGACTGTGTTGTGGAGTTGAACGAACTGCCGTTTGTCCGCGTTTGAATGCAATTAAAATTACATGCAGCGCCATTCATAGCGACTGTCATTCAGACAAATATGTGTATATACATATATCTATATGATGTATATCACATACATATGTATGTACATGTGTTCTTATTAAATTTAATTGAGCCATGCGGCCCGAGTCGCCATGGTCGCGTTGACAGAGTGACCAAGTTAAAGACACTTGTCTGACACATGCCACTCTAGCTGGCAGTCAGTCAGCCGACTTTCCATTAATTAGGCATAATATTTCATTAGCGTAATGAGCGCCCCCTGTGAAATGTGCCAGCTGTGCCGGCTCATATGAAGACAGCAGCAACAGCAACGGCAATGGCAAAGGCAACGGCAACGGCAACAACAAAGGCAACTATTGAAAGGCCATGCAAATCGCATAGCCGCGACTATCATCAGCAATGCCTAAGCTGCAGCTCGAAGCTCTATGCAAAACAACAGACCTCCAGCTGTATCGCTTCTCCTGCTGCTGCTGCTGCTGCTGCTGCTGCTTGGCTGCCATGTGAAATGTGTGAAATGTTAACATGACTTGCTGCCTCTTGCCACTATTCTTTCTTTTCATACGTTCGTTGTTGCCTCTTTCGCCGTTGCTTTTCATTATGCGAAACGTGCATTAATTATTTTGTAGTTGCCACAGAAACTGCCACAAACGGCTGTCAGCTGGATTTGATGCCACATCTCAATGAAACAAACCGCAAAACTCTCTAAAGGAACAGAATTCGCATGCTGGGAATTCAAATTTAATACTAACAAAAATTCTAAATGACAGCAAAAATCTGAATTTAAGTAAATATTTTTCATATTTTTGAGGAGCTATGTAAATGAAAATTTAATTAAATATTTATATGGATATTAAGTTTGTGCTTATATACGAACAAATGGCTTACTTCAGTTACTATCCCCGAAATTGTCAGGAACTTAAAGCACAAACGCAGCTGCTGGGAGACTTCCTGCTCTATGTATACTATAAGTATCTCTAATGACATAATCTGCTTTTAGGCAACAGTAAATAGATGAGGGCTTCAGAACCAACGCTCACAGAAGCGCCCTTTCTACTAATCCGCTTAAGTGACTTTTGTTGCTGTTGTTGCTGCTGTTGCTGCTGTTGCTGCTGTTGTTGTTTTTGTAACTGCTTCGTGCATATTAAACTTATCGCTGGCAACAACCGCAATTATAAAATTATAATGATAATACTCGACTGGGGAGCGGCAGCAACTGCTGACAGTTGGTTTGTCATTGCCATTCCTGTTGGTGTAGTTTGCTGATGATGTTGCCGCGATCTGCGGCACAGATAAGTGCCAACGGCTTTAATACAAGCCACGGCCAAAAAGAGTTATTAAAACACGTCTCTTGCGCCAACTGTCAGCGCCGGTTTGTTTGCCCTGACATAGCACTGCCCTGGCGATTCCTCGTCTATCTTGAAGTGTATCTCAAACTGAAACCCGTTTACAGCTGGCTAATTGCGGCATGCAGTCGACTCGAATGATAGCAAACAGATGAAAAACTATTTATTAATTATGTGCACAGTTTAATTGCCACTTTCTATGCAGCTCGCACTTACTACATCTATTTCTATTTCTCTTATCTCAATCTCCACTTGCAGCTCTTGTGACTTTCACGCGAAAATGCTGACGCTTTTCACTGACAACGCGGCGCATACGCAATTCGCCTAAACTTCAAAGAGAAAACAAAACCGAGCCGAACCGAGCAACAGAATAACGGCTGCAATATGAACTGCCTGTGTCGACCCTCGCGGATAATGTCCGTGCGCATTAATTTGCTGGATGAGACCGACTTCATACACGAGATCAAGGTAAGTTAGCCTCTCACTACACCCTTTAGTGTCAACATTAGCCACATAAGCAGCGACAAGTACATCAAATGACAGCCAACATGAATATCCTAAAACTACACGCACTTGTCACCCCAACCTCGGCTGCCTTCTCTCTCTCTGTCTCTCTCTCTCTCGCATATGGGCTGTGATTTATGTCAATTGACAAAAAGTGTTGCCTACTTTGCACGTGCCTGCCATATGCTAACCGTCATATGGCCTAACCCCCAGCCGCCCAGCCGGCAACCCTTGGCGCCCATCACTGGGCACCCTCATCAATATTTAGTGCAGAGCCAGAGTCACAGTCTGTGACTTGGCAAACATGCAAAGTGTCATCATTCACACGTCGCCTGCTGCTGCTGCCGTTGCTGCTGTTGCTGCTGTTGCTGCCACACGGACAGAGCCTGTGGTTGGCCCTTGCTTTAAAACTGCGCACGTTTGCCAAATTAAATGGGTCGTCAGCGACGACAAGAGCTGAGGGAGGAGAGAAGTGCTCCCAGCTCTGAGCTGCCTCGTCGTTGTCGCCTTTTGTCTGTCTGCGTTGCTTAGAAAATTCTGCTGATTTTGCACGCCATCTCATAGTTGGCATCATTGTGCGGACAAATCAAATAAATAGTTGTGATTTTCTCATGTGTGCATGTGTGTGTGTGTGTGTGTGCGTGTGTGTGGCCTGGTTTTGGTGTTTGATTTTAGCAGAGCTTGGCAAAAATGTTATCCGAGCGTGCAATAAAAATAAATATACATACATATTTAACTACATACATATATAAAATGCCTAAGAAATCACAGACGTTGTTCATGGCCATTGTCGACGCTGTCTTTTAATTATAAAATATTTTCTGATCAAACAAACATAAATCAGATAAAGACAAACCGAGAGCATCGTCCTCAAATTGAAACATAAAAAATAACGAAATACATAAAAGAGAATTTAGACTCATCCGATTACATTTTTTCAATATATGTATTTAGTAGGAGAAAATTAAATTCTCGAATAACTGAAGAATTCCGTTTAATTTCTTTTCATTTCATTTTGTTGGCTTAGTCAAAGATGCCTTTACACTTTATTTACTTGGCCCTGACTATCTGCTTTGTTATCTGGCAGGAGTCCCTTTGCATATCACGGGCGAGTGCATTGCACCAGCCCTGTTAAGTGGAACACAATATGACATGATAAGCATACTTATGCATATATCTTATGCAAATGCATGTCATCAAGGTTGCCTGTGGGGTCTGCGACATAATGAGCGGTGTGGCTTGAGAGGTCTGCCGGTTGATTATATGGCTCAAAGACACACACGTCTCTCTCGGCATACGGCTGAGCATACAGATAGGAACATGTATCTGCATAATCAGAGCAGTTGATCTGTAAGGCGCCCACGGCATAGTGTTCCAGTTCATTCCTGATTGATCGAGCAGGCCAATGGGACGACAGGCTAGTTAGCAATTCTCGGAACTGACTAATGACACTTGGCGTCGCGTTGAGCTGCCAAGTTGCATGTTGTGTTGCATGCTTGAAGCCTTTACGTTTTTACTGCAACTGCCAACTGCCAACTGCGGCTGCTGTGGCCGTTTCCACTGCGGCTGCAGCAGAATTGAAGCACGTAAACGTTAATAATCACAGCTCATCAACAAGACATTTATAATAATTTTACAACCACATGCACTTGGCTGCCGCCACAAGACTTAAATACCAGCCGCAACAAGCTGTAAGCCGTAGTAAGCCACCAAATCGACTGAAAACAAGCGGCTCTAAGCTACTCAATGCGTAGTTGTCTGGCTTCACCCCCTCCCCCCACCACACCATCTTTCCTGCTCTACGTCTACGTGGCTGTTGGCTAGCATAAATTGCGCATTAGACATGTGTTACGATTCAGGCGTTGTGTAGTGGGCGTGTCCCACAATTTGACAATGGCAACCTGGGCGGACAACCACAGGCAGTCGTCGCTATCGACGTCGACGTCGACATCGTTGTCGTTGTCGTTGTCGTTGTCGTTGTCGTTGTCGTTGACGTTGGCGCAGCGCGGCACACGCCTCGGGTCATTATTAATGAGTTTAAACTGGCAACAGGGACAGAAATTGCAAATAGGCGGCAGGTGGACGCGGGGCTGACAGCGGCGGTGCACACATTTGTCTCTGGCCCGCACTTGGGCAACTTATCGCATGTAATTATTGGCCGAGAGGCTCACGTAGCATGTCAGCCGCATGATTGATAAAAGGCTCGCCGACAAAATACCAAAAAATCAGCCATGAATGAAAATACTCGGCTTAAAGTGCTGCGCCGCGGCGAGATATGCAAAAGGCAGTGAACAAAATTAACTTTGATTGAGAATAGGGTAGACACAGCTAGAAGATGCTCTACAAAGTGGAGCATAAGATTTATTTATAAAATATATGAAATAAAACGAGTCGGTTTGCTTCACATATCCAAAAGTCATTCAATTTAAATGAAACTTTTTCAGCATTTTCAAGTCACATATACCCTATAGAGTGCTGCTTGCTGTTGGGTATGGAAATGCGTGTGGCCGGCTTGTTGCGAACGTAATTTTATTTACGCGTGCACTTGTCCCAGCTGTCTGTCAATGTGGCAACCACGTCGACTCTTGCCGCTGCCGCCGCGTTGTTGTCTGCGCTGCTTTTGACGGCTGCCGATGGCACTAAGCGCACGCACTTAAAGTCGCCATCGCACGACTGCAGCTGTGTTAATGAAACGACACAAAGGGGACGCAGCGAGGTGGGCAAGTGGACGGAGAGGGGCAGGGCCGACTGTTGCGGCTGGCAGTAGCTTGCGGTTGACTCGTTTTGCATTTCATTTCGACAAACTGGCAAACAGCTCCAGCCGCTTTTATCTGTGAAGCAACAACAGCCGCAAGATAGAGATACACATATCCGCGACATAAGTCAATGGAGTGCGAGTGGCGCGGCAACGTGTCGTAATCGATATTTCATTGCCATGACGAGCGGAGCGCACGTTGCGTATGATTGATTTCTGCTATGTTTGCAAGATGAGAAGGCAACAAAAATAACACACACGCACACACACACACGCACACAGATACACATCTATATAGGTGGTACATAAATGTGATAGCTACAACTTTGGCCATGATTCAAAAAACATGTCTACGAGCATCGCATAGCACAATTCATGATGGCTGTAGCAGCCGATGGAAGCGTTGTTGTTGCTGTTGTATGCAAACATTTACTATTTGGGGGTTTGGCACACCGTTTCTTGCCTCATCACTTTTAACTAATTGGAAATGTTCGATTGTTGTGTTAAAGTAGCTGAAAATATGATTAACGAATTTTCGACTACATTGTGGGAGTGAACAGAAAATATTAAAATAAAGTCTTTAAAGAGACCAACAGCCAACAGCACGAATAAGTTCTCTTACGTGTGCCTAGCAACACAGCTGAAATGAAATTTGAGCGCAAAGAATAATAGAATTAAAGCCATGACAATGGTTAAGTAATGGAGCTGCCCAGTCGCGGCGCGGCTTTAAAGCTCAGCTCCCAAAAACCTGGCAAAACTGTGACAAATGGTCTCTGACGACTTCATGCCAAGACATGCCGCTCCAGACACATACATACATACGTATATACATTTTTTTTCTAGCCGTCTAAAGCGCAGTCTGTGCGCGTTCACATTTTAGCCATTTATCATGCTTACATGCTAATGACATCTGGCCAGGGCCCAGAGGAAACAATTCGCGGCCCAAGTCGTCTAACTTCAAGTGCTCGCGCCCAGTTGCCGCTTGTTGTTGTTATATAAGGTTATATATGTACAATTATATAGCTTAACAGTTAACAGTTAAAATTGAAGCACTTTGCTCTGAGGTGAGGTGTGTGAGTGTGAGTGTGAGTGTGTGTGTGAGTGTGAGTGTCTGTGCTGTGTGGGTTTCTGTTTGGCTAGCGCTTAGTTCTGTCAATACAGGGTGCTCGCCGCATGGCCATTTCAGAATTTATGTAAATCATTCAACACACTTCAAACTGGCCACAATGACAAAGCCGAAACAGACAGAAATGATTGCTTCAAGTATTTCACGAGCAAACACTTCAGCACAAGGCAGCGCGCAGCGAGAACTGTATCTGTGTGCTTCGTCTACGTATCTGGATCCAATGTGTATGTGTGTGTGTCTGTGTATGTGTGTATTTTCGGCCACGGCATAGACTTTATGCCTCGGGGGACATTTAATTAGACTTGCTTCGTTCCGAGCGTTCACACGCCAAGCTGGCCAAATAAACCTGCAGTTTATGGCCAACATAATTAAGTTAAAAGCTTTTTTACAGCTCGGCCTGCGCGCTTTTAAATTGATAATGAAAATAAGCAAAACCCATGAAGCGTATTTAATAGCTAAATAAATGTTGCCCCTAGATGTGGCTATGCCACACCCACCCACACCTGCAACAGAGCGCAAAGACAACATTTCCTTGGTAATGTAAATGAAATCACCCGTTTTCCAATGACAGCTCATTGATTTGACCTGGCCAACGATATTGAAGAAGGGTAAAAAGCGTTGAAAAGGTGCAAAAGGTGCTTACAATGATATCGAATTGGACATTCTCTTAAATACGTTTTATCTATATTTAAATTATTAGTTATTTGATTTTACTTTCTGCTTTGACTCTTCGCTTTATTTCGCAGTGTATACAGAATGCGTTATATTGGCCATATACCCTTTTCGGCAAGTGTACGAAAGGGTGCAATTAATAAAAAAGGTTAGGCCTAAAAGTTGAACATTTTACCTTTTGGCAAAATTCAGCGAAGCATCTTTTGGGGTGTGGGGGTAATTACTTTATCTGTTGCTGAAGTTGCGCTTTGGTTGCTAATAGGATTATCTAACAGACAAAATAAAGAAGTAAAAAATAACTGAATAGCATGGCTGGCTAGCGGCTGGCTCTGGTTGGTTGTCTGGCCGACTGTCTGCCTGGTTGGCTAAAAAGCCTCGGCATGAATTCTGTGGCAGTCGCTGGGGCTTTTT